ATATTTATTTGATAAATAAATATATATATATTTATTAATATAAATATTTATAACCAAAAATTTCGCTAATGTAATAAAATTTGCAGCTGTTTTAGGTAAAAATTTTGTTTCCGTGTATAAAAAATTTTAATAAATATTTAAATAATATAAATAAATATTCGCGTATATTTTTATTTTAATTGTAAACTTTAAAAGTAATTTAAGACCAAAAATTATTTTCTGAAAAAGAAATTATGAATTGCAAATTATGAAAAGTAGAATTTTTATAAAGTTGTAAATATTTTTTTTTATTATTGTAAATTGTTTGTAAATTGTTATAAATATTTTGTAAAATAATTTTTTATTATTGTAAATTCTTTGTAAATTGTTATATTTTTTTCAATATTTTGTTATTTTTGTAAATTGTTTGTAAAGCTGTAAACTATTGTAAATTGTTGTAAATTGTTGTAAATCGTTGAAAAATGTTTCTAAAGTTGTAAATTGTTAAAAATTGTTTCTAAAGTCGTATAATTTTTGTTTATTGAATTTGGAAAGCAATGGTAATTTAAATAGTAACTAAATTTAAAAATTAAGCGCAGGAAATAGACTTTCAGTGTCTATGAAAATTTTATTCTCTCCAATTTTAACTTTGCAGCTCGCTTCGAAGAGATTTTCTAACATGACATAAAAAAATGAATAATTGAATTTTCTAAAAGTTTACAATATTTTATTTAAAAAACAGAAGTTGACAATTTATTTTTTCTTCTATAAATTCAAACATTTGGGTAGGAACTAAAAAATTTAAATTTCCAATATTTTTTTTTTAATTACAGAATTGAACATTATTTGAAGAATTTAAAGCTAAAAGTATATAAAAATTCTTACGTATAATTTCATTAAATGAAAAAGTTTTTTTTTATGAAACGATTTCCAAATAAAATTTTTTAAAAAAAGACGAAAAAAACTATTATTATTTAGTAAACAGACCACTTGAGTGAATATAACGTACATATATGTATATATATATATATATATATATATATATATTGAAGAAAATAATCTCTGAAGTCATCTTTAGATTGTAAATTTCTGGTCAACCTTACACGCAACCAAGGACGACTAGGTTCTTACTTTCGAAAAATGAAACAATTCCAGAAGCCCTGCAGTTAAATTTTCTTGATTTGTCGATAAAATCGAGGCTCATATAGAGGAAATTATCTTCTTTATTTCAAAAAAAGAAAAGACACAAAAATTTATTTACACTGTAATTTTTTTATCTATAAATTAAACTTTGAGTATAGTACAAAGAAAAAAAGAAGAGGGAGAAAGACAGGTATATACAAAAATAATGTATATTTTATAATTTGATTATAAATGTAAAAATTGTCATATTTAGTCAAAAGAATATTTAATCAATAATTTTTTTTTTTTTTTTTTTTTTTTTTTGATAAGAATTATAATAGAATTGTATATGATATAACCTTGGGCTTTTTTCCAAGAATTCCATCTCATTTTTTTAATGCCGTCAAGTCAGGTGAAGTTTGTTTATACAAGCAAAGAAAAATCTGCTGACTTATCAGCAAACATCTGTTAAAATAGTAAATAGTTGAAATTTGGTGAAAAATTTATACTTGTCTCTTTTTTTTTTTCTTGAAAAATTTGAAAATCTAATGTTTCGGTTTAATGAAAACAACAGGTTTCTACACAGTGATAATATGATTATTATTTGATAATTCTTTAATAAATAATTCTGAATAATTATACTTATAAATTATTTAAATAATGATTTTAGCATTACATATTTATATAATTATAATTATTACAAAATACAAATGAAAAAATTGGCGGACTAACTCTGCTGGGGATCGTGAATAATTCCGGGAAAATTCAAATTAATAATAAAATGAATAATAATTAATTAATAATAGTAATATTATTATAATAGAAAATATTCTATAACAATATGTATATAATTATTGTTAATTAATTTTATTATTATTATTATAAATAATATTTGAGACTGCTGTATGAAGTTTGTAAATAAATAAATAAATAAATAATAATAATGAATCTCGTTTGTTATTTTTCTCCAAGAAAGTATTTTTGGCGTTGAAAAAATTTTTTTGCCAGATTTATATGAAATTATTCATGAAAAAAAAGTGTTACAGTGCAAAAAAGAAATAGTTGATATATATGTGTATACATATATATTGAATTTAATATTGTTTGAAAAACAACTCAAACTGTCTTTCGCGATGAATACCAAAGACAAGTCACAAAAGTCGCTTTAAGCATCAGTCATGTGTACATTACGTTTTTAAAGTCTTAATATCTAAGCGGATTATCTTGTCCGCCTTTTATATATTCAGGAACGTGTGTCATATTTTGTAAACCCTCAACAAGTATTTCTTTTTTTTTCTTTCTTTCTTTATTTTTCCTCTAAAAAAGGAAGTTATATCAAATAATGTTCTGAATGCATTATACTTTATTATAGGTATATACAAACTATCTTCCAAGCACTTTCATTAGTCTTTACATTATTCTATGTAAAAACCAACAAATTTTATTATTTAATTTTCAAATTTATTCTATTAATTAATTAAACTGATCTAATTATTTTAATTAATTATTTATATAATTTATTTGTATTTATTTTTTATTTATTTAATTCATTTATCAAAAATATTATTTTTATTTATTTATTTTGTTTATTTAATAATTTAGTTACTTAGTTACTTAAATACTAAATCTAAATACGAATCTAATTAATTATTTAATTAATCGAATGGAACTAGAACTAATAATTATAATTAATTACATCAAGTAATTTTTTTTCTTCAAACTCATATTACTTTAAATAATTAATTTTATTTTAATAAATTTAATATTCAATTGTTTAATAAAATTAATAATTCTAGTTTGTTTTAATATAATGGTAAAAATTTAAAATTTAATTTAATTTAATTTAATTTAAAATTTAAAATAATTATTTTAGAGCATAAAATTATTGTTAAATAATAAATTAATTGATTTAATTGAAAATTTGATCGTATTTATCGAAAAAAAAAATTTAAATGCACAAAATTGTCAACGTATATTTAATTATTTAAATATTATTCAAAACAAATTTTTTATACTTATTTTTCCTTTTTTTTATTTTATCTAATTTAAATTTCTTTGGCATTACTTTTTAATCGGTGTAAATTTTACGTTCGAATTCTTTCACAATAAAAGAGAAATATGTAAATTTGTTAAATAAATTAATATTGTCAATGATACAAATAGTAAATTATTTTATTGCATGTCTTTTTCAAGGACATTTACGATTTTCTTATCTATAACTAATTAACTTTTATTGTTTTGTTTTAAACAATTTTATTTATTTTATTTAAACTAATTCTCTTTTTTTATTCGTGTTTTACTTTTTAGTTATTTTTTTTATTTATAGTTTTATTTATGCATTTTTGTTTTGTCTTTATTAATCTTTCTAGTTACGTTTCTAATTAATTATTCTTAATTCTTTATTTATTTTTATTTTATTAATTTTTTGTTATTTTTTATTTTTTTATTATTTTATTAATTTTTTGTTATGTTTTATTTTTTTATTTATTTGTCATTATTTTTTATGGGTATAATTTTTCTAGATCAAAAATTGGACATTAATTATCATAAAAGATAAAAAAATGTTTAATGAGTGTTTTAAAGGGTTATATTTATTATTTTCTTGAAAGAAGTTCATAAATGTGTGGTTTTGGGAAAAATGCATTAAAGAAGTGAAGGTTGAGGGTTCTTATAAAAATTAGGGCCGTTACTTTAATTAGTATTATCAACTCGATTATCTGCCGTTTTTGATATCACCCTTATATTATCTTTCGTTTCCAATTAGTGGGCACATAATGATGAATAGGCTTTTATTTCTAAACTTCGTGTTAATTCCTCTTGAGTACAATGTCAAAATTTTACTTCCTATAAAGTCAGTCGCATTTCTTAACTTTATTTTTCACAATACAAATTATCATTATAATTTATAATTTCCAGAATATTTTAACATAAATTTGGTATTTCGAATTTTTCTACGTTCATATAAATTTTATTTTTGTATATTTTTTTACATTTCAATTGAACTTTTATAATTTATTTAAATAATTTTTTCTAATTTAATATTGTAAATTTAGTTACAAACTAGAAATTTAGTTAATTTAGTTGGTTTTTTTTGGTGGTAACTAATTTTTGTGTAATTTTGATGTAAATAAATTTGATTTTTTTTTGTTTTTTTGAATTTTGATAAAAAGTTTGTATAGGAATTTTCGAATTCTCCAATAGTTATTTTAAGGAGAACATTTTTTTTTATTAAATATATTTTTCCAGTAGAAAATACTTTTTTTGTTAGAAATATTTTTCCAGTATAAAAAATATTCTTGTTGTAAATATTTTTCCTGTACAGAGAATATTTTTCTTGAAAATATTTTTTCTTTATAGAAAATATACTGTTGAAAATATTGTTTGAAAATATTATTCTATAAAGAATATGTTTATTAAGCATTTTCTGCGAAAAAAAATTTATTTTTCTTCTAAATTTTATGTTATTTGAAAAAAAGTTTTTTTTTGAAAACTTTTTTTCGAAAAACATAAAATTTAGAAGAAAAAAAATTATGATTATAATAAATGATAAGATCATTTATGTTTCCTGTGTCTTACGAAAAAAAGAAAGACAAAAAATACGCTAATTAATCAGAAGATGGATTACGTGTTCAAATAAAATATTTTTGACCTTTTGATCTTTTAATCTCTCATATAAAATTTGAGATATTATAAAATTTAGTTCAAGTTGAAAATTTGTCCCCGAATAATGTGAAAATGTAATTTATTTTTTGTTTTGATTTTCTACCTTCATTGTTTTAATCACATTTTCTTTAATTTTCAGATTAGAAAGAAAATCTTTTTTTTTATTAAATTTTTATTTTATTAAATAGAAATTTAGAATATTGTACTAATAAATTTTATTTTTCTGCTTTTTCCAGAGTTTTTAACATTCCATCCCGAGGCTTAATACAGCATCCTAAATATCAGGAAATTTTGCCACAATGGGTCGGAAGAAGATACAAATCTCGCGAATCACGGACGAACGAAATCGTCAGGTATTTATGGAAAACAAATATTTTTAGTTTGTTAATATTAAATAATTACTATTAATAAAATAATAATAATATTAATAACAATAATGATAAAATATAATTCTTAAATATTTTATTATTTTTATTTAGAGAAAGATTTTTTTTCTCCTTCGTAAAAAATGTTTTTATCTTTAGATTCTAATAAAAGTTTTATAGTCTATAACTTTTAATTTTAATTAAATTAATTGGATTAAGTAATTATTATTAAGTAATTATTAATTTAATTTTCTATTTAAATTTTATTTTCACTTTAATTTGAATTTGAATTTTATTTTTATTTATAATTTGAACTTGAATTTTAATTTTAATTTTTGCTTTAATTTTATTTTAAATTTTAATTTTAAAATTCATTGACTAAACTAATATTTTTTTTTTATTCGACAAGGAACTAATTATAATATTAAACGTGTATAATGTAAGCAATTAGAATAATATAATATTAGCGTGTGGAATTTAAAAAAAATGAAAATGAATGAAAGAAATATTGTAATTAATGAATTTTTTCTTCCTCTCTGTTCTCAACAGGTGACTTTCAATAAAAGAAAATTTGGAGTGATGAAGAAGGCATATGAATTGTCTGTTTTATGTGACTGTGAAATTGCATTGATTATATTCAGTTCGAGTAATAAACTGTACCAGTATGCAAGTACTGACATGGACAAGGTTCTTCTCAAGTATACGGAGTACAACGAACCCCACGAGTCACTTACCAACAAGAATATAATCGAGGTGAGTCGATTTCATATTTTGCGTAGGTACACACACATACACACTCTTTTCAATTTTCAATAGAAAAATCCACATTTCCAACCCTTTTGCAATCACAAATTCTAATTCACCAAAAAAAGAAATAAACACCATTCTTAATTTCCTTTCCTTCATTTATGAAAATATTTTCTAAAATTCAATTGGTTCGAATTTCCAGTTTTGTATTTTATGGCAAAAAATTTTTCCCTTTTTTTATTTATTTATTTTAAACTTGTACAAGTTTATCAGAATTTATTATTTTTATTTTATTATTTATTATTTCATTATTTAAAAGGATAGAAATTAATTTTTAAACGAGTAAATTTAATGCACGCAGAAAAAAAATTATTTGATTCAAATAATTATTTTTGTCTCTTACCAAATAAATATTTATTTATGTCAAATAATTTTTATTCGAGTCAATTAAATGGTTCAGTTCATATTTTCTTCAAATACCTACTAAAATTTTAGTTTAAAAATTATTGGTTCGAATAAAATTTATTTGATTTAAATAAAAGTTACTTGAATCATGTAAATATTTATTCGATAATAGGGAAGTAAATATTAACTTGATAATAGACAAGTAATCATTTATTGGAGTCAAATAATTTTTTTTTCAGTGCAGTTAATAATAAAAATAAAAAGGCATATAGATAATCACAAAAATAGAGATAATGAATTATAAAAATAAATATAATAATAAAAATAAATATAATTACTAATGAAAATAAATATAATAAATAATAAAAGTAAATATAAAAAATAGAGAAAAAAATATAGTAATAAGAACAAACAAAAAATTAATTGTGAAATATTTCTCATTTTCTGATAAATTTAGGAAAAAATTGCATAAAAAAATACAGAGGAATTTTCAATTTTGCTTATAAATATTTATGATAATCAAATTAATAGAAATTTATTAGTTTACTTAATGTTAAATTCAAATAGAGAATAAATTTCCGACGCACATATTTGAAAAATATGTATAATATTATGTAAATTCTATTTTCCACTTCAATTTCTATAGTTGACTAAATTTTGTTTTTTTCACTTTTAAATTTAATTTTAAACTTGATCTATTCTTAAAATTAGATTTCTGAATAAAGAAAAATTATCTCAAATAGTAATTCTATTTTGTAGAAATTTCGTTACATTCAATTTTTTTAAAGGAAGTTCTATTTTTTCAATTAATTTTTTTTTAGTTTTTTAATTAAATTTCTTTCAATAAATTCACTGCAATTTAGTTTTATTTATTTATTTAAGTTTGAATAAATTAAATTTAAATTTATTTTAAAGTAACTTAATTTAAATTGGATTGAAAAAGAATTAAATTTATTTTTCTTTTTATTTCTTTTATTAAAATTATTATTTAAAATTTTTGTCGTTAGAGACAATAAATAATTCAACAATATTGTTATACCTATTTAATATTACAGAAATTATTTTATTATTTTAATTTATTGAATTAATTTGATTTAAAATCATTCATTTTTTTATTGTATTATTTTTTAATTAATTTTCTAATTAAAAAAAAATGTTTAATTTAATAAATTTTTTATTACATTCAACTGTATTTTAGTTTTATTTAAAAAGTGTCGATAAAAATTTTTAATGTTCAATTATTATTAAAAATTAAAATTATTATTAAAAAAAAACTAAACAATAAAATTAATTGCAAATTTAATTGTTTTTAATTTTTTGTTAAAAAATATCGATGAATATAAAAAGAAATGAAGAGAACGTACAGTATGAAATGTATGGAAAAATTTCAAATAAAAATTGAACTATTGATTTTTAATTATTTTTGTTTAAAGGGGAAAATTCAATTTTATAAATAAAATACTGGAAATTCGAAACCACGATTCTTTATTAAATATTCGTCAAAGACTGTCGAAGAACTTTTTTTTATCATAGAGACTTTAGAATATTTTCTAGAATATTTAGTTATTTTTTTTTGCATGACAATAATTCCGCTGGTGCACTCGACTATATTTGATTTTTCATAAATATTTTAAATTCGAAAAATACATGTTTAAATGCACTCAAAAAAAAGTTTATAATGTTCTATTTAGGATTTATCGGGAATTACGAAATCGTTACGAAATTTCAATATTTTCTTTCCTTGGTTCAAAAAAAAAAAAAAAAAAAAAATTACTAATTTAATCGAAAATATTAATTAAAATTAAAAATTATTTCATTTATTTTTTTACTAATTTCGGTTAGAAATATACAGGAATTATTTTTTGTCAATTTTCCAAATTTCAACCTTGGCGAAGTTCACAACGTTTGTGATCAACAAAAATAAGGGAAGAAAAAATATTTTTCCATGCAAATTTCTGTAAATTTTTGCCTGAATATTTTTTTTTACAAATTTTTATCAATTATTTGAAGAAAAATTGAAAAATAACATTTTTTTCCATTAATTGTTTATTACAAATGTTCTGAACTTCATCGACTTGAATTATTGAATTTGAACACTGGTGAATTTCACGTTTATGATCAACAAATTACGAGAAAAAATTATTTTTCTAAGTACTTAACTTTTTTGTAATTTTTCTCCTCGTTATTTTTTTTTTTTTTACAAATTTTATCAATTATTTGGAGTGAAAAAAATTTTTATTGTTCCTCGTGTGAAAAATATTTTTTCTAACCGTTGATTATAAATGTTCTGAATTTGAATTTTTAAAAATCAACGAATGAAATTTGAAAGAAGCAAATTTTGTATAATTGAGGGGCATTTTTGAGAACTATTTTTTTTTTCTTTTTTGTAAAAGAAGATTTCGAGATGGGACTTTGGGGGGAAATATTGAAAATCGGTTAAGAGAAATATTCGCAGAATAATGATGATTAGGATAATTTGTGTGTCGGTGTTTTTATACTAACGTGCATGTGAAAGTTGAGTGCCCTCGGGCGGTGTGGTCACGTGAACCTGTCTGCTGACACTTGCAGGCGCTCAACAAGAAGGAGCATAAGGGTGCAATGTCTCCAGAGAGTCCCGAGCCGGATACCAGTGAATACAATCTTACCCCCCGAACAGAGGCCAAATATACCAAAATCGATGAGGAGTTTCAAATGATGATGCAAAGAAATCAGCACAACGGATCGAGGGTGAGTTTTTCTTTTCATTGAATAAAAGTAAAAAAAAAAAAAAAAAAAACCCTCGAAATTTCATTCATAAATAATCCCATTGAGAAAAACTATATACGAACCGAATTATTCCACATCAAATTATTTCCATTTTTTCCCTTTCCATTTTCGTTTCCTTTTTTCACTCGAAATTAGCAATTTGACGAAATGAAAATTGTCAAATTTTCATTTCGTCAAATTGCTAATTTCTATTTTTCATTAAATTATTATTCAATATTTGCCCAAATGGAATTAAATCCTTTTTGTTTCAATTTCTCCTTTTTTTCAATTAAATTACCAATTTAATCCCAGACATAAAAAATTGAACGAATTTTTGGAAAATAATTTTTTCAAAATTCCCTGTAATAAATGCAAATTTATCTGAAATTTTTTTCTCATTTTTTAGGGAATGGGTCAGTCTAATTATACACTACCCGTGACCGTACCTGTGAATAGTTATGGGGGAGAATCTCTTTTGGGATCTAGTCCACAAATGGCACACACCAGCATCTCTCCAAGGCCATCGTCATCTGAAACAGATTCAGGTAATTATACCATTCAAATTGTTTGTAATTAAATAATTTGCTTTAAGATATATTACATCAAGGTGATCGTGTGGCAATTTCAATGAATATAAATTTTGAGGAAAAAAAAGTTATTCTCAAGAATGACAAATATTCATTTTTCATTTTTTTTTAATGCTGTTAATTTAAATTAAATTTATTTTACAATATTTGTTTTATAAACGATAAAAAAATTCACGATAGAATTTTTTAAATGTCATGGAAAAACCTTGAATTTAAATGGATATGATCCGGAATTTAGATATTTATCTCTAAAAATTTTTCTTAATTTCAGTCAAAAAAAAAAAAAATAATAATAATTACAAAAGAATTACGGAGATAAATTTGTTTTTATGAAAATGAGGAAAATTTTAATTGAAAGGAAAGAGGAAATCAATTTTGGTATTTTTTTTGTAATTTAGATTTTAGAGAAAAAGGGAAATTAATTTTTAGGGGGAAATTATTTTGTTGATTCAATTTAATTATTAATTCACAAATAAATTAAAGCAATTAAATAATTTTTTCCCAAAGTTCATCTTCCTTTTTCTCTGAATTACAAAGAAAAATTTAATTAATTAATAAATAAATTTCAAATAATTGAAATTTGGTAAAATCTTTTAACAATAATTGAAGTTTTGAAAAATATAAAAAGAAGTAATCAAATTTTTATGAAGAATTTTAATTTTAAAAATGAACATGATTTTTGTCCAAAATTTTAAAAAGTCGAAAAAAGTAAATGTTACAAATTTTAATTTATTTTGTTCAAAAATTATTATCTTCGAACAAAAATAAATAATAAAAATGAATTTTAAAAAATATTGCAATGTAATTTTACGAAAATAATTGAATTTCTTTAAAGAATTTTTGTACAATTTAAAAAAAACTAATTTTTTGTTGAATTTTAATAAAAAATGTTGAACATGATTGTTTTCTCCAAAGCGTTAAAAATAATTCTAAAATATTGTAATGTTATTATTTTTTGTAAATATTTGAATTTTCGGAAATATGTAATTGAAATTATTGAAATTAATTTAATTTAAAAAAATTACAAGGAAAAAATTCTATAAATATTACTTTTTTCAAAAATATTTTAATATAATTTTTAGAAGCTAATTTTCATTAATTTTCATATTTATAAATTTACACTTGAAGATTTTTCATTGAAACTTTTGAGAATTCAATTATTTTCAAAATTTGCAATGAAAACTCCTCAAAAGTTGATTTTCAAAAATTTTAATAAAATACTTGAGAAAATCAATTATTTTTAGTTAAATTTCACAAAATTTCAATTATTGAAAAATCTTTTAATTGTTTATTTCAAAAATTTAATTAGAAAAATCATTCAAAAATAATTTTCGAAAGATTTGTCTATAGTTAAGTACTTTTTACACAATAAAAATCAAAATAAATTGCATTTTATACAAAAAATGTGGTTATTAATTAATTAATTTTAAGAAATTATTATTATTCTCTTTTTTATTTAGAGGGTAATTGTTAATAAATTATAAGGGTTAATTATTACTTAAATTATTAATTATTAATAATTAAATTCAAGCAATTAAACAATTTTTTTCCAAACTTTGGCAACTTTGGGGAAAAATTGTTTAATTGCGTTTTCTCTGAATTTTTACATTTAATAACTTTTATATTTTTATATTTTAATAATTTTTATATTTAATTTTCCAAGAAAAATTTAATTAATAATATAATTTTTAATTATGTACTTTGTTACTTTTTCAATTTCAAGAGAAATTGTTAATAAATTGTAAGGGTTAATTATCACTTAAATTATTAATTATTAATTAAATTCAAGCAATTAAACAATTTTTCCCCAAAGTTAATAATCTTTGCGGGAAATTAATACAAAAGTTATAAAAATACATTTACAAAAAGACATTAATTATTAATTTCATTTTTAATTTAATTTTTAATTAAATATATTTCATTATTATATTTTTATTTAGAGGGAAATTGTCAATGAATTGGTGAGGGTGGAATTTTGATTGATTAATTTTGTTGTAGTTTATCCGCCAGGAGGGATGTTGGAGATGAGTAATGGATATCCACCGTCGGCATCTCCATTGGGCGGATCTCCAAGTCCTGGACCTTCACCTGCTCTTGGAGTCGGTGGCGGTAGCGGAAATAAACCTGGTAATCCTCCTAGACATTCACCACAACCACCGCCGCCACCTCATCCTCACAGAGCCAATTTACGAGTAGTTATACCCACGCCTCTTACACAATCTCTTTCAGAAGACACAAATTATGATGTGAGTAATAGAATTGATTTTTATTTCATACTTCTTCTTCTTTTTTTATTCTTCAATTATCAACAACTTGCTTGAAAATTGAATCACTTCTTTTGCGTGAATTTTTTTTTCGTTACAATTTTTTGTAGTTAATAATAATATTTTTAATTATATTTCGAAATGAAAATTCAATCAGATTAAAGGAATTAAATGTTGTTTTCTATTTTTCGAATTAAATTTTTTTTTATAATAATTATAATTTAATAATAATATTGAAATACAAATGATTAACTAAATAACGAATATTCGAGGAGAATATCAATTTATAAAAAAAATCCCTTTGTTTAAAAGCGTTAGATCGGTTTTAAAAATATTTGCGGATAATTCGAACAAAGGGAATAATATTCCTTTATAGAATTTTGAAAAGATTTTTTCTTTTCAAAATTTTAATATAGGAAAAAAAATATATAAATCTGTATTTTTTTATACGATTCGTTTGTTTGAAAATTTTTCGTTCTTTAGAATCTTTTCAATTTGAAAATGAAAAACCAAATGGTATACAGTGGAAAAATATTTTTATTATTAATTGAAATTTTTTATCATTATTTTTCTTTTGTAATTTTATTTAGTTTATTATTTTCATTATTACTTTATTTCGATATCATGTTTCTATTTTATTCTATTCATGTTTCTGTTAATTATTATTATTAGTATATTGTTTCTAAAAATTGTTTTTATAAATAAAAATGTGTTAACGAATTTTTTTTTTAATTTCTGTTTAGAGAAAATTTCAAGTCGAAAGTTAATTTTAATTTACTAAATTAGAAAAATTAAATAAAAACTAATTTAATTTTTCTATTCTAAATTGAGTGTAAAATAATTAGATAAATTAATCAAGAATAAAGTGAATAATTAGTAGATAAAGTAGAATTTTAATTTAATTTAATAATTAATTAATTAATTAATTAATTTGATAATTTTTTTTAATTTTCGTGAAAAATTGACTAAAATTGTGATAGATTTAGAGGAGAAAAAAATAGTTTTCCGTTGATTATTAATCAATTGTTGAATTTCAGAGTGGACACACGCAATCCTCGTTAAACACGCCGGTAGTAGCATTACAAACACCATCAGTTCCTGCTGGTTATTCTAGTTTTGGACCAACAGATTATTCCACGGATCTTGGCAATTTAACGTGGTCTCATCAGAGGTACGTTGATGACTTATCAATGTATTCAGCAGTCGCCATGTCCAACATCAGGTAATTCTCATTTCATTGTTATTGTGTTATATAAAAAAACTAAATGTACGTCCAGTCGTTTTTTCTTTTAATGGCAATTAAATTAGTTAAATTCCAAACAAGTGTCTCTATTTTTAAAAGAAAAATTTATAATCCATTATGTTAATAACACCCAGAGAAAAATTTATTACTAAATTTATTAAATACCTATAAAAGAAAAATTTATTCATTATTAAAAAATTAATTTTCATAAACAAATTTATTTCTTTTAAATAAATTGCAAGTATAAATTTTATTCAACACAAATAAATTTTTATTTGAACCAAATAAAATTTATTTTGAACAAATAAATGTTTTGTTGGGTACGAGTCAAATGTATACATTTTTTTCTGGGTGAAATTATATTATTAATATGTTATTAATTGAAAATTTTAAAGTAATCTAATTGCTGTTAAAGAAAAGTTTTGATTTTTTTATTCTTTTGAGGAATGCAGTTTTTTAATGATTGACTTTTGCACAATTTTTGTTTTATTTCAATTTGTGATTATTTATATTTATTTTTTTAATTTGCATTGCATGATAAAATTTTTTTGTTGAAAATTCTATATAATTTCTACAATAAAATAAAAAATATAACAGAATATAATAAAATTGAAAAAGTAAAATAGAATATCTATGATAAATTTAATTAAAAATATAATAAAATATATTATTATAGATAATAAAATAAAATGAAATAAAAAAAATGTAGTTTACATGAAATATTTATACAGTTAATTAAATTAATAAATATTACATATTAAATTAATGTAAAATTGTTCTGTGTTATTGGAATATTTGTTGATTACGTAATTTTGTAAAACAGAATGATTACGTACTGTTCACCCCAAATCGGAGAGATAATAGATATAATAAATTGTTTGGGGCTGCTTAGGAAAGTCTCGCGTAACTCTTTTTGAAATTAAGCATAAAGTACGTCTTTTATCATGTTTTTGGTACCTACGCAATTATATAAGTTTTATGCATTACTTATTTTGTGTTCTGAGAAGGCAAGCAAAGATAAAAAGTACTTTCTATTCTGCGTTTTTAAATGTTAGACAACTTTCAAAACAAGTACTTATTGTCCGAAATAGGGTGAACATTTTTTTTTCTTCACTTGTTTGTAAAATGTATTAATGTACAAAAATGTGTATTAACTATCTATTAATGCACAAAAATATGTATTAATGTACACAAATATGTGTATATTAATTATATGAATACAAGAACAATTATATATTTTATTATTATGTAATTATACAGAAAGATTTTTTTATTTTATTATAGAGAAAAGTTTTTTTTGAATTTTATTATTGCATAGAAAAATTTTGTGTTTTATTATTATACAGAAAGATATTTTATTTTATTATTACACGGAAGGATTTTATATTTTATTTTTATAACTGTAACAAAAAAATTGTTAATTTTATTGTTACATAATTATAAAGAAAAATTGTATTTTTTTACTATTTTATAATTTTGTAGAAATAATTTTCTATAGACACTCAGTATTTATTCCAAAACTTTTTGCGGAAAGTAACAAAAATTCTTTTTCTTTCTTCTTATTTTTCAAAGTTTTTTCTCTTTTACTTTTTTGCATAATTTGAATTTTTTTTAGACTACTGAAAGTTAATAGTGATAAAATTATGAAAAATAACGTATTCGTAAAAATATGGAAAGTAAATTTAGCAGATTTTATTTGCAAAATAGTTTTCAGTGGACTTACAAAGTTTTTTTTCTATAACACGTTTTAACCCATCATTGAGTCATGTGCTTTTTAATTTACTAACTATTTTCTTAAAAAAAAAAAATAATTAAAATAAAACTCACCTGTAGTTTGTTAGCAATTTTGATACACAAACAATTAACGGTGAATTTTCTCTACTGCTTGGTAATTAATTTAATTTACTATAATTCTTATTCTTATGTTATATTTATTGCTTTAGTTTTTTATTCTTTTATTTATTTATAATTTATTTATAATTTATTCCTTCATTTTTTATTATTTCTTTATTTTTTATTATTTCACTATTTTTTAATATTTATTCCTTTATTCATTATTATTTATTCTTTTGATAATTTATTCTTCATTTCTTTCTTTATTATTTATATTTGTTTATTTCTGTATCATTTTCTTTCTTTCTTTTTTCTTTCCTTCACATCTGTATTATTTTCTTTCTTTCTGTCTTTCTTAACTATTGTCTATGAAATAATTCATTTATGGTACTTTAATTATTATTTAACGTTACGTGTTTAGAATTTTGCATGAAATTCAACGATACAAATATTTATATAACCATTGAGTCACATAACTCTTGGTTTATCGATTTATTTCAATTAAATTTAACTCAACTGTAAAGATTTCATATTTACATTTTAATTAATTACAATTTACAAAACAATCGAGTTTGATGGATTGTTCGTCTTAATACTAAAAAAAAGAGTTACAATTTTTATATTTTTTTCTATATTTGAATTCTATATTTGAAAAAAGTTCTTTTATTGGAAAAAAAAAATTCTTTTAGGAAAATAAAAGTAAATTATTGAATTTTTGAATTAAAGATAGAAATTTTAATTTTTATCATCCCTTGTTTAGTGAAGTATATTTTCAAATCTAGTCTTTATTTTAATAATGTCTCTGATATAGGGATGAGAATAATCTATTTCCAATTTTCACTAAAAATAGATGAAAACAAATTGTCTAGAATTGTCGCTCTTTTTAAGAATTAAGAATTCATTGAAGGAAATTTAATCTTTCGGTTTTTATAGATTTCTTGTAATATTAATTAAATTTTTTTTTCAACGATTTTCTTATTTTAAAAGTTGAGGTTTTGACCTTTCAGACAAAAGGAGGGAATATTTCATTCAATTTTTTTTAAATATATTACTACCTTGAAGATGTTCGTAAAATATTATTTTTAGGTATTTGATTCCTTTTTTTGATTATTTATCTACTTTTCTCTTTTCTTTGTTAATAATAGTTTTCGTTTTGTTAATTTTGGTTTTTGCTGAATTTTTTTGTTAGCAATAGTCTTTGCTGAATGTTTTTTTCGGTAATAATAGTTTTGGTTTTCTTTAAATCTTATGTTCGGTAAGTAATTTATTTTTTTGAAAGTAAAATATTACAGGGTTGCCACAGGTCAGGGAATTCAGAGAAAAGTCAGGGATTTTTATTTAAGTAACTGGGAAAAATTGAATTTTGGAGAAGTTACAAATGAACTGCAGAAATTCGATTATTTTCAAAAGTAATAAAATTCTTCGCAAAAATTTAATTATGTTCAAAAATAAAAAAAATTGTCGTCAAAATTCAATTATCTTTAAAAATAATAAAATTCTTCTCCAAATTTCAATTATTTTCAAAAATTTTAATAAAATTCTTTGCAAAATTTCAATTATTTTCAAAAAATTTTTCTCAATTCAATGATTTTCAATGTCTACAGTTTTAATAAAATTTTTCAAAACAATTCAATTATTTCAAAAAAAGAAAAATTTTAATAAAATTCTAAGCAAACTTCGCAATAATTCAATTATTTTCATAAATAATAACATTTTTTACAAAAATTCAATTACTTTCATGAATAATAAAATTCATCATAGAATTTCAATTATTTTTAATACAATTTTAATTGAATTTCTTGAAAAATTTAATTATTCTTGAAAATTTTATTAAAATTTCTCGAAAAAATTCAAATTTGTTGATAAAATTCTTTATGGTAATTTAGTTTTGAAAAACATTCATTTATTCAATAAATTATTTATTTTTGTATTTAAATAATTGAATTCTTGTAGAATTTTTCAATAAAAATTGATTTAAAAATGAATATTAGTTAAAATTTTAGATAATAATAGAATATTAAAAGCATTATAGCATGAATTTTTAAAAATACATAATTAATAAAATAGATAATTGAATTTTCACTTTTTCCCTGACCATAAAGAATATTCCGATTCACTCTAAAAATTATTAGATACTCAAGAAAAACATTCTATTACATTTACATACGAATTTCTTAAATTGTAAAATTATTCGCAAACATCAATAAATAAATTTACAAACGGTTGTTATTTTGTTTGGATTTGTAATTTTTAAATAAGTATTTAATTATTATTTTTCCATAGGAATTAAAATTCTTCAAAACATTCAAATTCAAAAATATAAATTTTCTCTTGAATTCAATTATTTACAAAAATTATAATAAAATTCGATGCAAGAATTTAATTATTATTTTCATAAATTGTAATAAAATTTTTCACATTAGGTACATTTTACAAATAATGAAATTCTTCGCTGAAATTCAAAAATTTTCAAAATTTACATTTTTAATACAAGTTTTCAAAAGAATATAATTATTTAAATAAAATGTAATAAAATTCGTTGCATAAATTGAATTATTTTTACATGTAATACAATTTTTCACGCATGAATTCAATTATTTAAAAAAAAAATTGATAAAATTCGTTGTAAGAATTCCATTATTTTCATAAATTATAAAATTTCTCTGAGGATTTCAATTATTATTTATAATACAATAATTTAAAGTAAATTACAAGAAAAATGAAATTATTCTCTTTAATTTTTTGTAAGAATTTAATTACATTTCACGAATCTAATGAAATTCTTCGTTGAAATTCAAATATTTTCACAATCTACTTTTTTAATAAGAGTTCTCAAAAGAATTCAATTATTTAAAAAAATGTAATAAAATTCGGTGCAGGAATTCAATTATTTTCATAAATAATAAGATTCTTCACATTATTTCAATTATTTAAAAAAAAATTTGAAAAAAATTCTTTGCAAGAATTCAATTACTTTCATAAATTAATAAAATTCTTCACAGGATTTCAATTATTTTCAATACAATTTTAAGTAAATTCTTCGAAAAATGTCACTATTTTCAAAATTTTTGTTAAAATATTTTGAAAATAGTGACATTTTTCGAAGAATTTACTTAAAATTGTATTGAAAATAATTGAAATCCTGTGAAGAATTTTATTAATTTATGAAAGTAATTGAATTCTTGCAAAGAATTTTTTTCAAATTTTTTTTTAAATAATTGAAATAATGTGAAGAATCTTATTATTTATGAAAATAATTGAATTCCTGCACCGAATTTTATTACATTTTTTTAAATAATTGAATTCTTTTGAGAACTCTTATTAAAAAAGTAGATTGTGAAAATATTTGAATTTCAACGAAGAATTTCATTAGATTCGTGAAATGTAATTAAATTCTTACAAAAAATTAAAGAGAATAATTTCATTTTTCTTGTAATTTACTTTAAATTATTGTATTATAAATAATAATTGAAATCCTCAGAGAAATTTTATAATTTATGAAAATAATGGAATTCTTACAACGAATTTTATCAATTTTTTTTTTAAATAATTGAATTCATGCGTGAAAAATTGTATTACATGTAAAAATAATTCAATTTATGCAACGAATTTTATTACATTTTATTTAAATAATTATATTCTTTTGAAAACTTGTATTAAAAATGTAAATTTTGAAAATTTTTGAATTTCAGCGAAGAATTTCATTATTTGTAAAATGTACCTAATGTGAAAAATTTTATTACAATTTATGAAAATAATAATTAAATTCTTGCATCGAATTTTATTATAATTTTTGTAAATAATTGAATTCAAGAGAAAATTTATATTTTTGAATTTGAATGTTTTGAAGAATTTTAATTCCTATGGAAAAATAATAATTAAATACTTATTTAAAAATTACAAATCCAAACAAAATAACAACCGTTTGTAAATTTATTTATTGATGTTTGCGAATAATTTTACAATTTAAGAAATTCGTATGTAAATGTAATAGAATGTTTTTCTTGAGTATCTAATAATTTTTAGAGTGAATCGGAATATTCTTTATGGTCAGGGAAAAAGTGAAAATTTTGTCTGGAAATCAGGTAAAAGTCGGGGAAAAATAAAATTAAATATTAGTGGCAACCCTGTATTAGTTTTTAGTGAATTTGGATATATTTTTTTTTTGGGGGAGGATTTAATTATGAAAAAGAAAATGAGGAGGAAATTATTTTTCTAAGGGAATTTTTTGATTGCAGCGGTCTTCCTCATTTAGCCGTGTCAAGCAGTACACCGCCGCCACCATCATCGCCTTTAACAGTGAAAATCAAGAGCGAACCAATAAGTCCACCTAGAGATCCACACGGCTCGAGTGGTGGGCCAAGTAATCCCAGTAATCTTCATCACACGAATTTGAGTATTGGTCCATCATCAAGTGGAGGCGGTGGACCACCACCTCATCATCTCACACATTCAGGTCCACAAACATTGAATTTAGTATCGAGTAGACCAAGCAGCAATCCACCGCCTTCACATTCTGGTAGCATAACGCCGACAAATTTACCATCGCCAGGCGGTGGTAATGTTGGCGATCTACGAAGTCACACAGGCGGTGGTAATGGTGGAAACAGTTCGGACTATGAAAATGGACCACTTATGAAACGCTCGAGAATCACCGAGGGATGGGCGACTTAATATCGATTTAAGTATCGCGATCAATTATTCATCCCTTCGCACAATGGCGCATAGTGCTTGTGAGTTGAATTTTTATTTTTTTTTCTAAATGAAAGAAATTGATTGATAAACAGAGAGAGAGAGAGAGAAAGAGAGAAAGAGAGAAAGAAAGAGAAAGAGAGACTTTTTCAATAATCGTAAATCTCTTTCAGTGCGCAAAATCTGTTTCTATTTTCAAACTAACACAGGAATATTAAAAAAAATAAATAAATAAAATGCGGTGCCATAATGTTGAAACTTTATATATATATATATATATTATATACATATATATGAATATAATTATATTCAAATATATACTTATATTTATGTATATACACAATGGATATATATATTTTCATGTATATAATAAGAGGTGTTGTTTGTATATATGTCTTGAGAAAAGATTTAAAGAAAGCTGAGCGTTACGCTTTTATTATTCACTTTTTCAGTGAGAAAAATCGGCACAAGGAAAAGAGATTTCGCAATTTGTTAAATGTGGTATAGTAGTCTTTAAAAGGCGGGCATTATCCGTTAATTTTCAAAAAAAAAAAAAAAAATTGACCTCATCGTTGGACGAGTTTGTCTTCGCACCAATATTTTTCTGCACCTGTAATATCTCTGAATTCACTCGAATTCGATAAACTTGTCCCTCCCTTCTCTCCCTCTTCGCGCACAATGGTAGAGAAATATTTTTTCCAACGTTAGGGGACAAATTTTACATTTTTAACGGTTTTTTTCAATGTCTGCTGTATAAGTTGTGGACTGCTGTACACTCAGAAAGAAAGAAATATATTCACGATTCGAAATTAATATATTGTGGAGTAACGTTTAGATAGAATATTCTCTAGATCTTTAAGATGGAAAAAAAACCCGTTCACATAAACACACACTTACACACACTGGCGCATATATCTATATTAAATAAACATTTTCCACGAGTATTTTGCACATTTGATATTTATAAAAAGAAGAAGAAAAAAAATATAAAAAACGAAGAGACAATTTGCAATCCTTTTCGAAGCCTAACAAATAAAAAAAAAAAAAACGAGGGCTCGTCTCACAAGTATGTGTCGCGATTCGAGAAAAACTTTCCACTCCGCGATAAATCGTCACTTTTTGAAAAAAATTGTACTGAAAAGAAAAGCAAACTGTTTTTCAAAAGTTAAAAAAAAAAATAATAATAAATTTACTCGAATAGCGACGTGCAATTTGAAGCATTCCTCAATTTTTTATTTTTGGGAATGATATAAAAGTTTAGCGTCGTTTAATGAGAGAAAGACGTCTTTTTCTAAATGTTGATTGAATCGAAAGTATCGACCACGAGTACAAATTTTCTTTTCGAGCCTTCACTGTATGCCTTACCTTGTTGTTGTCTGTAGACATATTCTCGTGAGAATTGCTCTCGTATGTTTTTCAAAGATCAACGGAGCGAATGTAAATTAATTGTATTTTAAATGGAGTACACAGGTATTTAACATAAATAGTGCCTGGCACCATTCGTGGCCCTCCTATCGTAATTATCGTACATATATATATAAATGTAAGAAGATTTAATATAAGCAAATAATCTTCTAATAATTAATTTTTCTTTATGAAAAAAAGCATCACAAAGAAGAAGAAGAAAAAAAAAATTGTGAACGCTATTTCGCGGGACACAGGAATAGTCGATATTTATTCTCCAATTTTTAAGATGATCACAAAGTGCAATCTCTTAGCCAACACAATTTTTTAATGAAAAAAAATTATAAAAAAAAGAATGAAAAAAAAAAGATATAAAAGAAATTGTTATTTTTCATAAATGAAAATATGATGTTTAAATGTAATTGAAAAATGAAATGGAAAAGATATATATTGCCTCCTTATCGTGTAATGTTTAAAAAGGAAAAACTATCAAAGATACCAAAATTTATTTTATTCGAGAATTCTAGATTTTTAAGAAATTATTATTGTTTCTCATTTTGTCACTGCAAATAACTCGAAAAACTTCGTTTCTCTTTTTCTAGATATTTATTAATTGAAATTTTTTCAAATTCTGACAAAACAAAAAGAGGCGATTGAAATCGATTGTTAATTTTTCTTTTAAATATGTTGCTCGAAAAAAACTTCTGTGGAAAAATTTTAGAATATTTTTACAGTTTTGATATTGACGATTTTTTCCTGTCTTGAAATTTTTGAACATTTTTAATGTATTTTTGGTTTTAATGAACTTTTGAAACGTTTACATTTTTTTGGCTTCAACGAACTTTTTTAAGTTTTCAATTTTTTTTGGTTTTAATGAACTTTTTGAACGTTTTAAATGTTTTTTTTTATTTAAAGAACTTTTCAAACGTTTTAAATTTAATTTTTGTTAAAACAAACTTTTGACAAATTTAAAAAAAATGTATTTTTGGTTTTAACGGACTTTTCAAACGTTTTAAATTTATTTTTGGTTAAAACGAACTTTTTAATCGTATTAAATGTATTTTTGGTTTTAATGAAGTTTTCAAACGTTTTAAATTTATTTTTGATTTTAAGGAACTTTTTAAACATTGAAAACAATGTATTTTTGGTTTTTATGAACTTTTAAAACGTTTTAAATTTATTTTTGGTTAAAACAAACTTTTTAATCGTTTTAAATGTATTTTTGATTTTAACGAACTTTTCAAACGTTTAAAAAAATGTATTTTTAGGTTTAATGAACTTTTTAAACGTTTCAAATGTATTTTTAAATCAACTTTCCAATCGTTTTAAATTTATTTTTGTTTGTAACGAATTTTTCAAACGTTTAAAGTTTTTTAACTCCTTTTTCTAAATAATTTGTTTAAAATTCTTGTATTCAGCAAATCTATTTTTATTTTCGTCGTTTTTTTTTATAATTGTTTTTGTGTTTTTATGAAATGAAATTCGAAATCTTTTTTTTAAATTTTGTCTTGTTCTTTTGTTAACAAAATTGAAGTCTTTTAACGACCGTTTTCAAATATTGTCTTCAATATTTACTTGTCAGAAAAAATTTTATTATCTTTGAACAAAAATTGCTGAAAAAATTAGTATTTGCATAAAATGTCTTGAAATTATTTTTGAAAAATTAGAATCGACTCAAATTTCTACTGTTTAAAAAAAAAACTTAAAAATGTTTTTGCGACAAACAGACATTTGTTTTAGAGAGAAATTTATAAATTTATTTTAAAATCTTCTTTGCAGAAGTAATTTTTTAAATATCAGTTGTAATTTGTAAATAAGTTATAAATTTGTTATTATTTTATTATAATTAAGGAAAAATTATTGTATTATAATTAAGGAAAAATTCTAATTTTTGGTACATTTTATTAAGTAAATTTTAAATCTAATTATTGAATTGAAATTTAATTTTTTAACAAGAGCCAAAAAAAATATTTATGTATAGAACGTGTAAAAGATAAATTGTTTTGCTGGAAAATAGAGAAAAAGTGTAATAAAAAATAAAATTTCCAAACTTAAAGAAAGAATTAAAATTTTTTTGAATAATTCCGAGAAAATTGTCTAAAGAAAAGAAGTTTTTCGAGTATTTGAAAAAAGGAAACTTTTATATTTATATATGTATAAAAAAGGAAAAGAAAGCGATTGTGTATTTTTTTGTCATGGCAAAGCGAGAAAGAAATAATTACAAAGGACAATCTGTTTTTGTCAGGAAAAATCGCGCACTTCTCACCGAAAAAGATGATCGTCATTCGAATTTGTTCTGTGATTGATTACTATACACATTTTTAAAAAAAGAGTTGTCTCAAAGTACCGATATTTTATTCGCAGTTTCCACTCTCTTTATAACTATGAATCAGGGTCACAATGTCCTCCGATATTATATTATTGCGACGCGTGTACGTACATAGTGATATACAAAGTAAAAAATCATTTTTAAGTAAAAAAAAATCATTTTTCGTTAAAATGAATTCCTCATACAGAGTAATAAAAAAATGAAACTTTCATTAATGGAATTCATTTTTCTCTGGTACCAGTGACTACATTAAGCACAGAACTTTATATAAACTAATTATGTAATTAAAAGAAAGAAAATAAGAAAATGTTTTGTTTAGCACCGACTCAGGAATGAAAGTCACACTCTTTAAAGTGCAGATTGATTGCGAGATTTATATTACTATCCGACTTTACCACAAAATACAGTATATGACGTACTAGCTAAATTTAGAGAATATCGCTTAATTTGTTAACTGTACGTGTCGCACATGCGTACACTTGTAATGTATATTTTTAATATCGAGTATGTCTAAGTGATACTTAGGGTCAAGTTGAAGAAAAGTGATTTTAACGAAGATTACTAATTCTATTTGTTCAATGCAGCTGATGACCAAGGAAGCATTTTTTCATTAATCGATTGTTTTTTATTTTTGTCAAAAATACAGAAAGTTTTTGACAGAAAAAGAAAGTCTCAGAGATTGTTTATTAATCGACGTTGTTAATTTAGTTTTTAAAAAAACAAATTTTATCCGGAAAAAGAAAGGTTCAATTTTTTTCCGACTAAAAACTTTGTTGCGAGTTTTTCTCATGATACAGAAACACAGTTTTTTGAGGATTGAGAAATTGAGACAAAAAAAGCGAACCAAAAATGTTGCTTCGCAACACTTTTGATTCGTTTTTTTTGTCTCAATTTCTCAATCCTCTAAAAACGAGGTTCCCAACTAACGAGTTGAAAATAGTGTCGAATTTTAAATTATCTTAAATCTTGTATTGTTTTCTACGAATTTTTGAAATATTCTTCTTTTTTGACATATTTTCATGTTTTTAAAGAATTTTTAAAATCCTCTTTTTAGTTGAAAATTTTTTTCGGTTTAAGACTCGTTACTTAGTTTTTCGTTTCAGATAAAAATAAGAAACCTCGAATGCAATATTAAGATAAAAATTTGTAAACTAGATCTCGAAATCAATTTGTTGACGTGGAATTTTTGTTTATTTATAAAGTGCAATTTTTTCCCTGTTGTTGGTCATACAGCTGATCCTGACGAATTTAAAATAACGCTTGCTTCACTGAAAAAAGTGAGACAAAAGAAATAATTTCCTGTTAAAAGTGAGAAAATCTCTTTTTCGAATTGTTTCCTCAAAAGAAAAAAAATTCCCCGGTGAGAGAAAGAATTCTATTTCTATTATTTTTACTATTTCTATTATTAATAGATTAAATAATAGTAATAAAAATAACCAATTGTTACAAAATAGCAGGAAAAAAGGTTTCAAAATAATTTTTAAAGGAATCGAAACAAAAGTTAAAATTTTTAATTTAGCAAAAAGTTAAATTTCTGTTAATTTAATAATTTTTTTTTTAATTTAATTTAATTTTAATTTTTTAAATTTAGTAAAAATAATGAAAGAAAAACAATTTTAATTCAACGAGTCTAATCCTAATAAATAAATAAATAATAAATAAAAAAATGTTTTCCAATTTGTAGACATTTTTTCAAAAATATGATTTAATCTTTACTTGAATAAATTTCTTCGTAAAAGAATTTTATATTTCATATTTATACATTAATATTTTTTTAAATAATTAAATTATTTAAAATAATTTTATTAACAATTTTAAAAATAATTGATTTTTTTTTAAATTTCACTCAAATTGTATTGATAATAATTGAATTCTATTATAAAGAATTTCATTAAAATTTTTAAAAATAATTGAATTCTTTAGAATAATTTTATTATCAATTTTAAAAATAATTGAATTTTTTGAAACTTTATAAAAATTGTATTGAAAATAAATGAATTCTTATAAAGAATTTTATCAAAATTTTGAAAATAATTGAATTTTTCAAAATAATTTTATTAAAAATTTTAAAAATAATAAATTTAATTCTTTAGAATAATTTTATTAACGATAAAAAATTTTTTTTCTATTTTCGATCGAGTGATAAATTTATAGTTATAAAATTTTATTAGCAATTTTAAAAGTAATTGAATTTTTTTGAAATTGTATTGAAAATAATTGAATTCTTTCTAAGAATTTTAATAAAATTTTTAAAAATAATTGAATTCTTTAGAATATTTTAATGAAAATTTTAAAAATAATTGAATTTTTTTTTGAAATTTTATTGAAATTGTATTGAAAATAATTGAATTCTTTTAAAGATTTTATCAAAATTATTGAAAATAATTGAATTGGTTTGGAATTTTATTAAAATTGTATTGAAAGTAATTGAATTCTTATAAAGAATTTTATCAAAATTATTGAAATCAATTCTCTTTAGAATACCTAATTTTAATGAAAATTCAAAAAATAATTGAATTTTTTTGTAATTTTATTAAAATTGTATTGAAAATAATTGAGTTCTTATAAAGAATTTTATCAAAATTTTTGTAAATAATTAAATTCTTAAAAATAATTTTATAAACAACTTCAAAAATAATTGAAATAATGAATTTTTTCGAGAAATTTTATTTAAATTCCGAAAAAATCATTTCTGTGAAGAATTTTATAATTCATGAAATTAATTGAATTCTTTTAGAGAATTTTATTAAAATTTCAGAAAATAATATTGAAATAAATAAACAAAATAAATTTTTCCAATTTGTAGAAATTTTTTCAAAATCATTTAATCTTTATTTGAATAAATTTAAATTGTCAATATAATTATTTTATTCTTAATATCAGGATTTGGTGATCAATTTTTTTTTAAAAATTTTTATTTCGAATTAAAAAAAATTCTACAAGCATTCGGAAGATAAGTTAGACCTGTTAAATTGGAATTGTTTTTATTTTACCTACTATTCTGATGAAGTTAAATTTAATTAAATTAAATATAGTTTTTAAATTAACGAAAATTTGAGTTTTGGTAAATTTAAAATTTGTTAAAAATTAATATCCTTTAATTTTGTTATACACATTATATTAAATATAAATAAAAATATATATTTATATTAAAATTTATATTTTCATTTTAGAGTTTACAAAAAAGAATTTTGTTTTAAAAACAAAGAAGGACCAAAGTGTTGTTGTTATTAATTTTTTTTCATTTTGAGGATTGAAATTCGAAAAATTGAAGATACATATTGAAAGCAGGTGAAGCCATAATTACTGTAAGCGAATGGTCAGTTGTACTACGTTTCGGATAGCGAAAATAAAAGAAAAAAATACTAAAATATATTATTAAAAAAAAATAAAATTTACGAAAATAAGCAGCTCTAGCGAGCTAAAACGCGCAATGATTGTTGATAAGTGAATTGCAATGCACGGCACAAGTACAGACCATGTAGCAATGTAAAATGTATATGTACTAGCCACAACTGTTGTCACCACAAAAAAAAAATATTAAGCGATTATTAAGTTATGCAGGTTTAAGTACCGGACATATCTGTAAAGCCAGGTAGCAATCACGTTTCAGAAAAAAAAATTAAATTAAGATATCGCCATTTTAGCGTTACTGTTATAACACAACTGTGCATTTTAAAACTAAAACCAAAAAAAAGTACGGACGCTTCGTCAATTTTGTTTTCGAATCATACGTAACGTCCAAACGTTCAAATAAAAACTAAACTTGTAAAGAAAAAATTTGAAAAAAAAATTAGTTTTGAAATGCACCTTTGGAGAAAACGAAGAGTTTATTAATAATCGAGAGATGATTTTTAGCGTGTTACGATGTTGGACCTTTTTTTTTTCTTTGTACGATGATAAAGTTTATTAGAAAGGTTGTTTAAACATGTTTTTTGCGCGAAAAATTGTGTATTTTAGTGTTAAGATGGATTTTTAATTACTATTATATATTTGCAAAGTGTATAAATTTTTAAAAATATAGAATTATGTATGTGTACGTATATATATTTATATATACACACACACTAAACAAAATATTATACACATAAAAAAATGACCACTAAAGAAAAAATGAAAGAAAAAAAAAATACATGTGAACGAAAAAAAAAAAATTATATTTGAGGAAAAAAATTACAGAAAAGAACAAATTTTGACATGCTTGTATAAAAATGCATGTTTTTTTAAAAAAAAAAAATGTGAGTATGTATATATAACAAGTAATACATAATGTTGTAGGAGTAACATGTTAAAGAGTAGTCGTGCGTTAAATTAGATCTTAAAAATCCAAGAAAAAAAAAAAGAAAGTAATACTTATAGTGCCATTGTAACTGACTAATGATTATAAAAAAAAACCAATTTATGTTTTAAGTAGTACCTTAGAAATGTTATTTGAGACAAATAGTTGCGGTGTTGAAGACAAAGACTCGGTTTATGTTTTTTTTTTTTAGTTTTTTTTTATTATGTTTATCACACGAGAAATAAAAACAGTCATTTTTTCATATTATATATGATATATTATAAAATTAGGTGCAATTTTAAGAGAAATGTAAAAGAAAAAAAGTATCGTGAAATTGGCAATATAATTGTGTATAATTTGTATGAATCCCATTGAATCGCAACTCTTTATTTAAATACGTATCTCTCATTTTTGGTGCTCGATATACCCAGTTATTGTTATATTATTACTGATCAACATGACTATATATTATCATATTGCCTATTATCGGTCAGTAAAATAATTTTCGGAGTTAGTGATTATAAAGACGATGATGGTTATTTGATATATCGCTATATATATGTAAATCACTCAGATATACATATATGACCTTGTAAAACACATACACATTGTGGTTATATTTCAGTGTATCAGCATAATGATATAATTATTATGATGTTGCCCATAGAATACATTTTACTTGGTTTTTAAAATTTAAGGTGTGTTTATTGATAACCTTCTCTTCAAATTATTAAGAAGATATTTTGAAATTCTTTTTATACTTTTATAGGTTTGACATAGGTCAGAAAATTGCATATAAAAAAAAATTGGAGAAAGTAGAATTGATGAAAAAATTATAGTTTTTGGTATTGAGCAACTATTGAATTTATTTTTCAAATTTAATTTTTGAAAAAAATTCTTGAATTTTTTTTTTTGCCTTTTAAATTCATGAATTTTATTACAAAAATATAAATTTTTTGAATTTTGACAGTAATTAAACTTTACTTAATCAATTTTTATTAAAAAATTCTACGAGTCAGAATTCAATTATTTAAATACAAAAATAAATAATTTATTAAATAATTGAATGTTTCTTAAAATTGAATAATTCTTGATGAATTTTAATACAATTTTTAAGAATAATTACATTTTTTCGAGGAAATCGAGATTAAAATTGTTTTAAAAATAATTGAAATTCTGTAATGAGTTTTATTTTTTATGAAAATAATTGAATTCCTAAAAAGATTAAATCGCCATTAATATTTAATCCATTACAGGGATTAAATAATTTAATCCCTGTAAAAACTTTTATTAATAATTGAATTATTGCGAAGAAATTTGGAAATAATTAAATTCCTGTAAAAAATTTTATTATTTATGAAAATAATTGAATTATTTCGAAGAAATTTATAAAAAATTTGTAAATAATTGAATTTTTGTGAAATTTTTATTATTTATGAAAATAAATATTTGTGTAGAATTTTATTAAAATTTTTTTAAAAAAATAATATTGAATTTTTTTTAAAATTTTATTAAATTAGTATAAAAATCGTTGAATTGAGAAAAATTTTTGAAAATAATTGAAATTTTGCCAAGAATTTTATTGTTTATATAAAAATAATTGAAATTTTTACGATTTATTTAAAAATTTTAAAAAGAATTGAATTTTGGAAAAGTTGTGTTTGTCTTTGCAATATTATTTTTATAAATAATTGAATTTAAAATGATTTTAAATTTAAAATTTATAAAAGTTTTAATTCTATTAAGATGTCTATGCAATTATCTATGAAAAAATATTTAATTTAAAAGAATTATTGAAACTTTTTGTTCGAAATAGTTTAGATTTTTATTAAATCAGATTTTAGAGAATAAGATTTGTGACACTATTCTTGGAAGAAACATTTAGAAATTATTTTCTTTTCTATAAATTTCTGTTAATAAATTATAAATGTTATGGTTTATGTAACTTATGAAATTTTACAGATGAAATAATTTAATTATTGCAAATATTTGACTATTAAAAATAATTGAACTTTTTATTCCAGAAATTGTATTAAACTTCTATTGAAAACAATTGAATTCCTATCAAGAATTTTATTAAAACTTTAGAAAATAATTGAATTTCTTCGAATGATTTTTAATAACAATTACAAAAATAATTGAATTTATTGAAATATTATTAAAATTACATTAAAAATAATTGAATTCTTTAGAATAATTTTATAGACCACTTTGAAAATAATTGAAATAATTGAATTCCTATCAAGAATTCATGAAAAAAATTGAATTTATTTGAAATTCAAACAAATTTTTTTTAAACAATTGAATTCTTTAGAATTCAATAACGGAATTCAATTTTATTATCAATTTTAAAATTAATTGAAATATTAAATATCTAAATTTATTATTTATGAAAATAATTGAATTATTATAAAGAATTTTATTATTTTTGAAAATAATTGAATTCTTTACAGAAATTTGATTAAAATTGTATTAAATTATTATTCAAGGGAAATATTTTATAATTAATAAAATTAATTCTTTTTTTGAATTATTTCGAAAAAAAAATTGAATTCTTTCCAAGATTTCTAAACATCAAATGAATTTTAAAATTCTCACTGAACTTTTTTCAAAAATTATTAAAAATAATTTATTCCTGTGGGAAAATAATAATGATTAAAATTTATTTCGAAAAAAGGAGTTATTGATGTTTTCAAATAATCATTTTTAGAGTGAATCAGAATATTCTTTAGGGTCAGGAAAAAAGGGGAAATTTTGTCAAGTAATTAAGTTTACATTTGTTAATTATTATCTAAAATGTTTGTTACAAAATGCTAATTTTTTAGAAACAAAGGAAATAATGAATAATATAATAACATTAATAATTTTTTTAGATTAATAAAAATATTTTTGAATTATTTGAGAAATAAAAATAATATTATTAAATTAAAAAAATAGTAAAAAAATAATGAAGTATAATATTATCTATCAGAACATATAAAAAAAACAAAAGCATGCACAATAGTCAAACTTCAAGTGTGGACAGACTGGACAGAATGCGACGATTATTATAGTTAATAATAATAAATAATAACTAATTAATTGCAATTTAAAAAAATAATTACTTGAGATATTGAAAATTTGTTCACTGTACGTGTGATATTTAAAAAATTTTCTTTCAACTTATACAGATAAATTGCATTGTTACAATAGAAAAAAAATTTCTTATCTTCTTGTTTGATGACATTTTCAAGGTTTATAGTTATTGCACGTTTTCTCATTTGTTAAATGACCAATGGGGATTATTCAAAATGCATCAGCATTAAACCTGAACTACTGTTTGGTACACAGTTAAAAATAGTTAGTCCAAGTTGTCGTACAAACGCCAGTATTGTGAGGCTCAATGATCTTTCTAAAAGTGTTTTGCAATAGTTTTTGCCTGTTAATAAGAAAATTAATTAAATTCTTCATATTTTTTAAAAATACAAAATTTTGCAAAATATGTCATTTTAATGGCGGTGAGTTTTTCAATTTTTCTAACAATATTTTTCACATGCGATTGTTTTTAATTCACTGAATGTTGATTAAATGTTTTTGTTTATTTACAAAGCTAAGTGTAGTGCATTTTTTAAAGTATAATATTGCTGCAATTGTAGGTAATGAATTATTAAAATTATTCTCTTAGAGTTACATTTGCTTTGAAATTAAAATTTTTATTTTTAATAATAAATTACTTCATCGAATTGTATGATTAATAAATAATAAAATAATTTTTAATTTTTTTAAAAATAAGTTATCTTAATAGTAGTTGGATAAAAACTATTATTTTTAACAGTACCTAATTTTATTTTTATTATTTTATTGGATTCATATGTATGACCTTTCGGCCTTTTACATTTCCCGTACATAAATATTTTCTTCGAATCTTATTTTTAACAGTAAAATAATATATAAAAAAAACATCAATAAAATATTTATTTTATCGACAGTTTTTTGTAACGTTAATATTAGTTATGGACAAATGTTTAAAGACTTGAAATTTTTATTAATTTTTCAATTTTAATTAAATAATTTTTCAATTTGAATTAATTAATTTTTTAATTTAAATAATTTAATTGAAATTAATATATTTTAATTTAAATTAATTTATTCTCAAGTATTTAATTTTTAACTTTAATACTTAGTTAATTAATTTTTAACTTTAATTCTTAGTTAATTAATTTTTAAACTTTAACTCTTAGCTAGTTAATTTTAAATAAAAATTTTTTGTTTTACAAAATAAAATAGAAGGAAATAAAATTTTAAGGTAAGAAAAAAAAGAATAATATAAAAAAAGAAATAAATATTGACTAACATCACATTTGAAACTCTTTTTTTTAAATAGTTACAATTTGATAAGAATCGCAAAATTATTAAATTATAATTATGTATAAAAAAAATTGTTAAAGAAAAATTATTAAAAATTTTAATTATTTATAATTGTAAATTTTATAAGAAACTTTGAGATAATTAATAATAATATATTTTTTCAATTGATATTTATATCGAATAATTATAAATTTAAGAAAAGTAGTCAATATGTATAGTGATACAAAAAGTTTGCTAATAATTATTTATGATCTTTATAATTAATCAATTTAGACAGATTGTGATAGATAAGGGGAGGGGGGATTAAATTACTCCCCACCTCATGCTCCATTTGAAGTATTTTATACACATCAATTTATATAATCATTTCGTTTGAGATTTGCTCAGAGTGCACTCACAATGAAGTCTCATTTATTTATTTGTCTTTTTTCACTATTTTTGATAATATTTGCAGAAAGTTATTCACTCAGAAAAAAATCGTTTCACTCAATTAATAATGAACCAATTATTGGTGAGTATCATTGTACCAAATAAATTTGATACTTTTTTTTTATAAATTTTCTTTAATTGTATATTTTTTATAATTTCTTTTTATAAAATATTTTATAATTTCTTTTTATGAACTGATTTATAATTTTTTTTATTATTTTATAATTTTAAAAGAAATATTTTATTCGATATATTTTTTAAATTTATTTATTACTTTACAAAAAAATTGCTTTATAAAATAAAAACAAATCAATTAAATACCTATAACTACCTATAGGTAATGTATTTTCTTGGATAAATTAAGTTTTTTGTAAACTTAATAATAGTTCAATTGATTATAATTTTAAAAAGGAATATTTCTCTTTAGCTTAATTATTCTATTATTTTCTTTTTTTTTAGGAATTTTGAGTCAAGAAATTTCCTACAGTTTGAATAATCAATATCCCAATCAATATAATAGTTATATTGCTGCTTCGTATGTTAAATTTATTGAAGGAGCTGGCGCTAGATGTGTTCCAATATGGTAAGTAAATTTTACAAATTATTAAATTACAAAATCAGAAGCTTTTTTCCATGTTTATTTATTTTTTCTATTTTAATTATTTATTATTTAATATTTATTATGTTCTAGGATTGGCAAAGATGATTCTTATTATGAGAATATAACGAGCAAAATTAACGGGTAAATGTACAGATGATTAAATTCAGCGCATTATTAAAACAATTAATACTTTTTTAAAAAATATTTTTAATTTTTTAGAATTTATTTATTTCTTTTAAAGAATTTATTTAATATTTTTAGAGTACTTTTTCCAGGAGGATCAACGTGGTTTAATCAAAAGAATGGTTATGCGGATGCTGGTGAAAAAATTTACAAGTAAAGGAAAATTTATTAAGAATATTATTGCTAATAATAATTATAATAATAATTTCTAATTGTTTCTTATGCATACTTTTTGAAAATGTTAAAGAATTAATTTGAATTACTTGAATTAATTAACTTTTTATTAAATAATTAAAATTAATTAAATATTTCTAGACTGATGAAATCAATAATAATTTAAACAGTTTTCCATTAAATAAAAAAGTAGTGAATATAAATAAAAAAAAAATAATACCAATGAGAACAAAAAATAATTCTTTTGTTCCTTTCAATATTTTATGAGATACAGAAGGAAGTCTCTTATTATGTATTGTCATCAAAACTAACTCTTAAAAGTTGCATGTTGCAATTTAAAAAAAAACTACTTTAAAAATTCCCATTCAAATATAAAAAATTTAATTTTTTCGGAATGTGTCAATTAACATTCAATTCAATGACCGTACGTTTAGGTTCAGAAAATCAGAAAAGAAATTGTTCGTGTAAAAACAAAACTAAATTGTTTTATTGGCATTAAAGATAAAAAAAAGATTTTTTTACACATTTTATATTTGAATTAAAAAAAAATTAATACACACTAAAGAATTATTTTGATAGTAATAATATCTTATCGTAGAATTGCCAAAAGATACAATGACAATGGAGATTATTTCCCTATCTTGGGAACATGTCTGGGATTTGAACTGTTAACTTATCTTGCTGCCAATCGTGTGGAACACAGATCGAATTGTTCCTCTAATGCTCAAGCTCTTCCCCTTCACTTCAGTTCAGGTGATTTTAATTTTTTTATATTGGAAATTTATCAAAAAAATTAAATTTAAAAAAATATCCCTTTCAAATTTTTTCAAATCTATGTTACTATATAGAGAAAATTAATTAGCAAGAAGTAATTGGTAAATTGGAAAAAAAATGTATTTGATTCAAATAGACAATTATTTTTCTATTATCAAATAAATATTTACTTGAATCCAACAAATATTTACTTGAATCAAATAAATATTCACTTAAATCAAATAAATATTTACTTGAATCAAATAAACATTTACTTGAATCAATTAAATATTTACTTGAATCCAACAAATATTTACTTCAATTCAACAAATATTTTCTTTAATCCAACAAATATTTTCTTTAATTTAACAAATATTTACTTGAATCAAATAAATATTCTCTTAAATCAAATAAATTTTATTCAAGTCAAAGAAAATTGTATTTGAACCAATAACTTCAATATTTGTGGCAACTGCCATTTAATTGATTAAAATAAAAATTATTTGATTCAAGTAAATATTTATTTGATAATAGACAAACAATTGGTTATTGGAATGAAATAATTTTTTCTTTCACTAATATAAAATAAATTTTTTATAGAAGGTAAAAAAAAATTTTTTTTTTAAATTTAAAAAAAAATTTTTAAAAATATTCCTTACAGGTTACGAAAAAAGTCAAATGTTCAAGAATGCCCCAAAGAAGGTGGTTCATATTCTTCATTCAGAAAATGTGACAGCTAATTTCCATCGTTTTTGTGTAACAAAATCCGTAAGATAATTGATTTTATAGAAATTATTATTACAACTTATAAGAAAAAATATTTTCAATTCATTTATTCATTTTAAATGGAAATTGCAATTAATTTATTCACTTTGAATGGAAATTTCAATTTATTTCTTAACTTTAAATGGAAATGAAAATTTAAAAAAAAATTTCTTCTCTATTTTTCTCTATAGGATTTGGAAAAAGTTCATTTAACCGATGTATTTAATGTTATGTCCTTAAATTACGATAAAAATGGTTTTGAATTCATATCAACAATTGAGGATAAAAAATATCCATTTTATGGAATTCAGTTTCATCCAGAAAAAAATGTATACGAATGGGTTGAGGGCAAAAATATTCCACATGGAAAAAATCCAACAATTGTAAATCAGTATTTTGCCAATTTTTTCGTTGATGAAGGTAAAAAAAATAATTTAATTAAAATCCTATAAAATTTTAAATTAATTTTTTTTTTATTTTAGTAAGTAAAATCAAAAATTAAATTAATAAAATAATTTTTCTTTTTCAGCACGAAAAAATTTGCACAAATTTAATGATAAAAATGATGAGATTAATAGTTTGATTTATAACTATCCTGTAACGTATACAAAATCATCATTCGTCCAATGCTACTTATTTAATACTAATTAAGGAAATTAATATTTATATACTTTTTATTTTATCAATATTTTCTATTTTCTTTTTTAATTTTATATAGAAGTGATAATCTTTCGCTTTCAAGATATTTTTCTATCACAAATTTAGGAGAAAGTGAGAAAACATTAAAAAATCATTAAAAATCATTAATAATTATTAAAATTATTTAATATAGGTATAATAATATTTAAAAAAATGATTAGATTTAAAATTTTATTATAAAGACGAATATTTTGGAATGTATTTCCTTTTTGTATTTACAATTAAAATAATTGATGTACTTAAATTTTTGTCATTATTTTACATTTAATTAATTCTCTCCGCATATTTGTATGAAAAAATGAAAAAAATCCAAATATTTTCTCAAATCTCGGTTAATGCAGAGAGTAAAATATTTGTTACAATTTTTTTTTCATGTTTCAATAAAATTCATTTCTTACATAGTTAATTTAATTTTAAAGGATTTTTGATTAAAAATTTGTAATTGTTGTATAGTTGTTTAATTGTGATAAAATTTCTCTAAAATTAAAATGTTTAATTAAATAAATTATTTGATTGATTTGTGCCTATATATTAGTTAGTATAAATAAAATATAATTTTTAAATTTAATATTTTTCAAAAATGTTGAAAATTGTAGATTTTTTAACTTGCGCCAGATAATACTTTACTTTTTACAAGTCTGTTTGAACGGTTGCCTACGCACAGGAAATAATTATTTAAAATAATTATTAAATAATTAAAAGTCTCAAACTTCGTTAAAATTATATTCATCATTTTAATTTAATTATTATTTTCTAGAATTTTGAACTAAAATTCTTCTCTAAATGAATTATTTTGAATAATTTTTGAAAAATTTTATTGAGAATTTATAAATTGATTTGTTTACAATTAAATTCGTCAAAAGAATTCAATTATTTAAAAATTTTGGTACATATTAAAATTCTTTATAAGAATTAAATTTTAAAAAACATTCAATTATTGAATAAATAATTTACTTTTGTATTTAAATAATTGAATTCTCTTAGAATTTTCCAATAAAAATTGATTGAAAAATGTATTTTAGTTAAAATTTTAGATAATTGAATATGAAAATAATTTCGAAGAAGTTACAATAACAATATTCTTATAATATAAAATAATTATTTTATTTTTCGAACATCTTTAACTATTATAAATGCTCCGAGTCTTCGACTCGGAGCAATCGATATCTTCATGTTTTATAACAAATATTTTTAAAGTTATTTAATTTCAAAAAGTTTTGAATTTGAAATTTTTGAAAATCTTAATTCCTATGGAGAAAAAATAATAATTAAATATTTATTTAAAAAAGAAGTTATTGATGTTTTTGAATAATTTTGCAATTCAATTTCATTTTCAATTAAAATTTGTAATTGCGAATGGAATTTATAAACATTTTTTTCTTTTATTTTTAAAAAACTTTGAATTTTATTAAAACAATTGTAATTAAGAAAATAGAAGTGATGTAAATTATTTCCTTATGAAAATTGAAAATTTTCTACGAAAATATTCAGAAACGGAAATATGTAATGTTTTTTTTTTTTTAAAATAAAAGAATGAGTTTGTGAACAATATTGTTATTGAGAAATAAAAATTATGCATAAAATGGGTATTTATGTAATTTTATAAAGGATTGTCCCTTTAGAATTTCAATTTGTAATTGTTTTATTAAAATTGTTCGATTGCGATGAAATTACTATAAAATAAAATTTTTTAATAAAATACATTATTTCATTCATTTACACCTATAATTAGTTAATAAATAAAAAATAATTTTTCACTTTAATATTTTTAAAAATTATTGAATATCGTAGATTTTTAAACTGACGCCGGATAATACTTTACTATTTACAAGTCTGTACGAACGGTTGCCTACAAACAGGTTGGAACATTATTAAATGGTTTAAAAAAGGAAAATTTCTTTAAAAAAGAAAAGAAAATTTTTAACATTCAAATAATAAAATAATATATTTTTTTATCGAACATTTTTTGTAGCGCACAGTTTTAGTTATGAAGAAATGTTTAACGACTTTAAAAATTTTAATTAATTTTTCAATTTGAATTAATTAATTTTTTAATTTTAATTAATTTTTAATTTTAATTTAATACTTTTTCAGAATTAACTGATAATTAGATTTTTTCGTAATGCTGAAGATTTATAATATAAATAATAAAATTTATAATAAATTTTAATAATAACTATAATTAATTTCCTAATATCAATTTAAATTTTCAAAAATTTCTGTAAAAAACATGAAATTATATAATTTTTGAAATAAAGAATTCGGATTTATTAAAAAAAAAAAAAGTAAAAAATGTTGATATTTAAAAAGTTTATACTTTGTTATAAAAAATTTTTAAAAGCTTATTCTGTGTAACTTAGTGTTAAAATACTTCCCCCTCCACACTCTCGTCTAAGTATATTATTTACACACCAATTTATAATAATCATTTTGTATGAGATTTACTTAGAGTGCAGTCAAAATGAAGAGTCATTTATTAATTTTTCTTTTTTCACCATTTTTCATCATTCTTGCAGAAAGTTTTTTAATCTTCAATGAGAAATCATTTCAGTCAATCAATAATGATCCAATTATTGGTGAGTAAGATTCTATCAAATAATTATTTTATTTTTTTTTGGTCGTATATTATTCTTTTATTTCATAATTTAAATAAATTATATTTATTTATTTCCTATTAATAAATTAATTTTTTAATTAATAAATAATAGAATAAATACATAAATATAAATAAATAATATATTATATTAATATAAATATAATTAATTATTATATACCTATTAATTAAATTAATATAATAGATAAATAAAAAATAAAAAAATAAGAATTAATAAAATTTATTTATAAATTAAAACATATTACAATTATCAAATATATCTTATTTTTTTTTGCTATATATTCTTATTCGTAAATAAAGTATTTCTTACGCTGATGTCAAAAGTTTCAGTACATTTCACTATATTGGTCATTTTCTCAAAATTCTGACGAAAAATTCAAATTTTTCTATAGACTTAAACAATTTTCTTTTTGTTTAATTTAAAATTGGTTATACCCAGTCGTTATTTTTAGAAAATATATTTTTATATTTTAATAAAAATTTGTAATTTTATACTATATTTTTGAAAAAAAAATTTTGTATTCAATGATTTATTTTTATCTTTAAAAATATTATTTTGAATATAATTTCTAAAAAAAAGGCTAAAAGAGAAAGTTGTAAATAAAAATTTAGAACTAAATTAACTAACTAAAATTTTAGAAATTAAAAAAAAATACTTTGTGAACAATAAGATAGGAAAATGAGAAAATTATACATTGTCGTAAGAATTTTTTTTTATCGTTGAACATAAAGAATTGAAAGCAGAAATAACAATTGATGACGTAACAAGAAATAAAAAGAAATACTGTTTATTCAAAAATTTTTCTTTGTCAATTATTTTTTTAGTACTAATTTGCGCAAAACGTGCTTTTTTCACATATGAAGTAAAAAGATAAGAGTTAATAATATCAAGTGCAGCAGTGAAAAAATTAAAAAAATGTGATGTCAGGTATATCATGTAATTTTTTCATGATCTTGAAAAAAGTTCGAAATAATTTTTTTAATTTCTAATTTTTGAGAAATTTTATATCTGTTAAAAGTAACATTTTTTCAAGAAAAAAAAATTTCTTTTCATAAAAAAGTGATTTTTTAATAAAAAAAATTTCTTTTCATAAAAAAGTGATTTTTTAATAAAAAAAATTCTTTTCATAAAAAAGTGATTTTTTAATAAAAAAAAATACTGCAAATAAAAATTTAGATCTTTTGTATTTTTTATCAATATAAAAATGCATTTTCTAAAAAATTACGAATTGGTTTTGAGATATTTTTAGTATTTTTGACTTTTTCTCTGCGATCGCGCTCTAAAACAAATTAAAATAATTAAAAATAAAATTAATAGTTACTGCGACGTGGCAAAACTTCCTTCGATTATTTTCAAAAATTTCGATAAAATTCTTAAGAAAATTGAATTAAAATAAAATTTTGAAAAAAATTAAATTATTATTTTTAAAAATTCCAATTAGTTTATAAAAATTATATTCTATTATCATTAAAAAAAAAATTTCTTTCTGCTATTAATTCTTTTGCTTTTTTGCGATTTATAAAATATATATTTTATTTCGTAGACAGGAATTCATTTGATTTTTATAAGAATCTTCCGCCATATTAATTCTGCTATTTTGAATCTTTTAAAACTGACCTTAAATTCGTAAGCAATGACCGCAAAAAAATCCGATTGACAATTTTTCCGTAATTTTTAATTAAATTTAGTTTTTTGAACCAGGATTTTAGAAAAAATATTTATTTGATTCGAATAATGAATTATTCGTCTATTATTTAATATTAAAGTTTTTTTTGTCTAAAACATCTATGTAAATTGATTATTATATCATGTTAATGGAAATTAATAATTATGCTACTTAATTAATATTATTATTATTATTGATACTTTTTTTAAAAATATTTTAGGAGTTTTAACTCAAGAAATGGCCGGTTATATGGGACATAAATATTCAAATCAATATAAAAGTTATATAGCTGCATCATATGTCAAATTTATTGAAGGTGCAGGCGCTAGATGTGTTCCAATATGGTAAGTAAATTTCACAAATCAAGAATTGACTTTATTAATTAATTAATTATAATTAATTAATAATATTAATAATTTATAATTTAATAAAATAATCAATTAGTTTTTATTTGAATAGAAAAAATAGTGTGAAAAAGAACAAATGAAATTCATAATCACGTTTTTCTTTTCAATAATTTTTATGAGGCACAGGAAGAAATTTTCTTATTATAAAAGCGAATCATTAATATTATTACTATTTATTTTTTAAAAAATTTATTATCATTATCAATATTTAATATGTTCTTAGGATTGGAAGAAATGATTCTTATTATGAGGATATAATGAGCAAAATTAATGGGTAAGTGTGTAAAAAGTATTAAACAATTAAATTTTACGCAGTATTAAACAATTAAAATTATGTGTGGTGGTTCAATCATTATTTTTTGAATATATTTTTTTAATTTTTTAGAATTTAATTATTGTTTCTTTAAGAGAATATTTTTATTATTTTCAGAGTACTTCTTCCAGGAGGAGCAGCAGCAAAGTTCAATGATACAAATGGTTATGGAGGTGCTGGTGACAGAATTCGCAGGTAAACAAAAAAATTATTAAATATTTTTTTTAATTGTTTCTTTCTCATTAATTTGAATTACTGTAGATAATTAATTTTTTATTTAATATTTTTATTATGTTACTATCGTATTAATTATTATTATTATTATATTGTTACTATATAAATTATTTTACTATTCTATAATTATTTTTATGGACTAACAATTAAATAATTAAATAGTTTTTATTTAAATAAAAAAATAGTGTTTCAATAATTTTTATGAGGCACAGAAGGAAGTCTCTTATTATTGCAAAAAGTAAAAAATTTCCTCCTCACAGTATATTTTAATAAAAAGGATAAAATACTGAATAAGGTGTTCGATAGTAATTAGTAAAATTATTTTATCGCAGAATTGCCAAAAAATACAATGACAATGGAGATTATTTCCCTATTTTTGGGACATGTTTGGGTTTTGAATTGTTAGTTTTCCTTAGTACTAATCGTGCGTCATTTATGACAAGATGTGATTCCTATAATCATACTCTTCCTCTAATCTTTAGTTCAGGTAATTTTTATTTTTTCACTATTGAAAATTTATCGAAGAAATTAAATTAATTAATTAAAAATAAATTTAATTGCTTTGTTTTATATTCTAATTAGTAATTTGTTCCATTAGTAAACTTTTCTTATTCAAAAGCAAAAAATCGCTAATTTAAATTGATGAACATTTTTACTAATTCAAATTTAGAGAGTAAGAAAATTTATAATGACCAAAAAACTTAATATAGTTTGTAATATAAAATAAAATTTAAAAAAGATTATATCTATAAAAAATATTCTTCAACAGGTTACAAAAATAGTAAAATGTTCAAAAATGCACCAAGCAATGTGATTAAAATTCTTCGTACAGAAAATGTGACAGCCAATTATCATATTTATTGTATAACAAAATCCGTAAGATAATTGATTATATACAAAAATATAAATATTATTTAATTTATTTATTTTCAATTTTGAAAATTTCTCCTCTTTTTTTGTAACAGGATTTAGATAAAGTTCATTTAGCTGATGAATATACTGTTTTATCCACAAGTTATGATAAAAATGGTTTAGAATACATATCAGCAATTGAAGATAGAAAATATCCATTTTATGGAGTTCAGTTTCATCCAGAAAAAAATGTCTACGAATGGATTGAAGGAAGAGAACTTGCACATGGAAAAAATCCAACAATTGTAAATCAGTATTTTGCCAATTTCTTCGTTGATGAAGGTAGAAAAAAAAACCAATGAATAATAAAAATAATAAATCAATTAATCAAATTTTGACAATAATGTTAATTATTTTTTTTCAGCTCGAAAAAGTTTGCATAAATTTCAAGATAAAACTGAAGAAATCAATAGTTTGATTTATAACTATCCTGTGATGTACAAAGGTTTGAATGATTTGCCTTTTGTCCAATATTACTTATTTAATACATAAGTAAAAAAATAAAATTAATTTTATTGTGACAATAATAATGTTTATTTTATTACTATTATTATTATTGTTATTATTATTTTATTCAGAAATAATATAATTATATCCATTGCTATGATTTTCATTACAATAAAGTTCATCAAAAATAGTAATCAATTTTAATTATGTAAACAATTTATGTTCCTAAAGTTTTAAACGTTTAAATGAACAATTTTTTTGTTATTCTTTTTATGTTTAAACTTTTGTACAAAATATTATTTAACATTTCGCACATTGAAAAATGAATTATTTAATGAATAATTAATAAATGTAAAAATTTTTTATTTCTTATTAAAATTTGTTTGATGTTTAAATTTTAGTAAAAATTATTTACATTGAAAAATTGATTACTTACTTAAAATAAAGGTAAAATTTACTTTCTATTTACCATTAAAATACAATAATATATTGAAAAATATCGAAAAGGGAAAAAATTTTGCTCTTCTAAAAGTGCAAAAAACTTTAAAGACAAAAAATAAAAATTTTTCTTAATATTTAGTATTTTCTGAAAGAACAAATTAAAATTTTTTTGTTAATAATTTTTTTCTCTCTTGATTTTAAAACACATTAAAACTTGTATGATAACGAGGAATATTATTATATTTTTTACATTGTTTGTATTAAAAAATTAAAATACTTGATGTATACTAAAATTTCTCTCATTTGTTTCACATATTCATAATTAACTTTTATTTCCACATATATATTTTATAAAAAGTGAAAAATGCAAAATATTTACTCGCAAACCCATTAGTGAGAGAGAAAAAAGAATCTTTTGTTTTTCCACTCCATGAAATTTATATGATATTTTATAAAATATAGTTATTAAAAAATATCCCTTATGCTTATTTTATAGTTTAAATTGCAGCACGTGCCCTTTTTTGACACGTGTCGTTTAAATAGTGTGCGTTCAAGAAATGAAAGTAATTTTTAAACTGTTATATTATATAGAATCTAAGAAAATGAGAAAGACGACGAAGGGAATTTTCAATTAAAAAATTTATTATACATACAATAAAATAATTTTTTTCTTTAATTGTTTCAACAAATTTGCACAATTTATTACTTAATTTTCATAATAATGGATTTTTTTATTTAATTAAAATTTTATTTGATTTGTAATTAATTTCCATTTATATTTTAATTATAATTAATTTCTAATTAATTTCCAATTAATTTTCATTCAATTTGTAATTATTTTATGATTCAATTTGTAATGGATTTTTATTTAGTTTAAAATTAATTTTTATTTGATTTTTACTTAATTTTGACTCTCGTTAAATAAACTAATTATAATTGTTATCAATAAAATGTTTTATTTATTTCCTATTGATGGTATGTAATTATAATAAATTCTTTATAATTATTAAATACATTAAATAGTTAATAAAAATTTTCTAGGTTACAGACATTTTTGTAAATTTTTAATTATTTCTTTTATTTAAATTTTTCTTAATGAAAATTCATTTATTACAATTATTTCGAAATAATATTTGTCGCATCGTCAATTGTTATACTGAATTTAAATATTAATTTTCAAATAAAAGTAACAAACTCAGAAATATAAAAATTTCATTTTTGATTGAAATATTTAGTTAATTCTTTTTATTGTCAAAATTCATAACTCAAAATTTCATAAATATTGTAAAAGAAAATATTTTTTTGTTCATTTTGTTAGATTATGGATTTTTCTTAAACAAAATTAAAAAAAAAAACTCACTGAGAAGGAAAAAAGAATTTTTTGTTTCGAAAAATTGTAATTTCTTTTGTCCATTGCAGGCTGAAAAGTTAATTGAGGTTTTTTTTTTCTTTTTTGAACAAAAAAACGTTTATAGTGACGTCACTGAATTTGCCCTTAAACCGAACTAAAGACAAGGTGAAATAAAAATAATACCATTTTTTTATCCCTCCGTCTAAATACGAATCAGTGTCATTTCAATTATTTTTTATTAACTCGCAACTTTTTTTATTGTTACTTTCTACTATGTTGCTATTGAAAAGGAAGGAAACTTTTTTCCACAGAAATAGATTCAATTTTCATTGACTCGTAATTTCAATTATATATTAGGTATATACGCATATTTACGTCATTATGATGAAAAGAAGAAAAAAAGAAAAGGAGGGATAGAAGAAAAAAATGTGAGAAAGAAGGAAAGAAGAAAATAAGAAAAAGAGAGGAAGAAAAAAGACAAAAAGAAAAAGAAAGGAAGAAAAAAATAAAAAAAGAAAGAAGGAAAAAAGAAGAAAAAAAAGGAAAGAAGAAAAAAAGAAAAAAGAGGAACAAAGAAAAAGAGAAGAAAATAAAGTAGACTAAGAAATTAAAGAAGGAAGAAAAAAGGAAGAAAAAAACAAAGAAGAAGAATTTTGATACATATATTAAAATTGATTATGTCCTTATAATGTAGAACATATATCAATGGAAATTATCAATTTTGCATTGGCAGCAAGAAAAAAAAGCTCAGCTTGAAATCGGCTTATTCGATGGAATATGACGTTAAACACGCAGTCAGACGAGGAGGGAGGTAGGGGTGATTCTGGACCAGTGCTCTAGTTTCAGTGCAATGCCCTCAACTTGGCACTACCCCAACTTAAACTGCCCTCATTCCTCCACCTCGACTTTTCATTACGACCATCCCTTTAACTCTCTCGCAGTAGGGGCGTTGAGAATTTTCTGGTGGGAGAATGGTAGATGTTCACCCACCCCTCCAATCCCTCTCACTTTGGTACGTCATTTGGCATTGACTACAAAACGTTTGCACTATCGATTGTTGTACCACCATTGTTGTAACTACGTAGATCGTCATTTTTCGTATTTTCGCAAATTTATCAAAAAATCGATGAAAAAGTACCACAAAGTTTAGTAATAATTACCATACTGATAAATTATTACCTTTTTTCATCTTTTTCTATTATTCAGATTTTTTACTTTTTTCTATTTTCTATTTATTTGTTAATTTATTTATTTATTTATTTGTTCATTTATTTATTTTATTTTATTTATTCATTTATTTACTTATTTATTTACTTATTTGTTTATTTATTTGTTTATCCATTTATTTACTTATTTATTTGTTTATTTGTTTGTTTATCCATTTATTTATTTACCTATTTGTTTACTTATTTATTTGTTTATCCATTTACTTATTCATTTATTTACTTATTTGTTTATCAATTTATTTATTCATTTATTTACTTATTTGTTTATTTATTTGTTTATCCATTTATTTACTTATTTATTTGTTTATTTATTGGTTTGTTTATTCATCTATTTATTTACTTATTTGCTTACTTATTTATTTGTTTATCCATTTATTTACTTATTTATTTGTTTATTTATTGGTTTGTTTATCCATTTATTTATATATTTGCTTACTTATTTATTTGTTTTTCCATTTATTGATTTATTAATTGATTAATTTATTTATTTGTTTATTTGTTTATCAATTTATTTATTTATTTATTTATTTGTTTATCAATTTATTTATTCATTTATTTACTTATTTGTTTATTTATTTGTTTATCAATTTATTTATTTATTAACTTATTTGTTTATTTATTTGTTTATCCATTTATTTATTTGGTTATTTGTTTGTTTATCAATTTTTTTTATTTACTTATTTGTTTATCAATTTATTTATTCATTTATTTACTTATTTGTTTATTTATTTGTTTATCCATTTATTTACTTATTTTTTTGTTTATTTATTGGTTTGTTTATCCATTTATTTATTTACTTATTTGCTTACTTATTTATTTGTTTATCCATTTATTTACTTATTTATTTGTTTATCCATTTATTTGTTTATTCATTTATTTGTTTATCAATTTATTTATTTACTTATTTGTTTATTTATTTGTTTATCCATTTATTTACTTATTTATTTGTTTATTTACTTATTTGCTTACTTATTTATTTGTTTATCCATTTATTTATTCATTTATTTACTTATTTGTTTATTTATTTGTTTATCAATTTATTTATTCATTTATTTACTTATTTGTTTATTTATTTGTTTATTTGTTTATCAATTAATTTATTTACTCATTTATTTGTTTATCCATTTATTTATTTACTTATTATTTTATTTAAAACTAAAATAAGAATTATTCTAATATGAAGTAGTTTAATATTAAATGAATAAAAATTAAAAATTGACGAAATAATATTAAGTAATAATATTGATGAAATAAAAGAACTAATTAAATGATAATTTCAATAAAAGAAAAAAAACTAAATAATTAATAAAGCAATGAAAATAATAAACTAATAATATAAAAACCTTTAAGGTATAAATAATAAAATTATATTAGAATTAGTAAAATAAAAAAAGTAATCAAATAATAAATTACTCGAAATAAAATTAATACTAAAACGAATTTAAAACATTCGAGGAAAAAATTTCAAATTACCATTTCTTTCTCAATGAAACGTACCTGAAGGTCGGAATACATTTTTTATTATATTGAGAGAAAAAAAAAGAAAATTTATTTAAGTTAATTTAGAAGAAAAATTAATAAAATAATAATAATAATAATAATAATGTCTTTGAACCTTTTGTTTTTGCGAATGAAAATAGAATATATGACAATAATAAATATTAATAATGAGTGCGAATATGTATATATAGAAAATGGCTGGCGCAATGTAGAAAAGGGGTAAGGGCATTCGAGTTGGACCAGAACGGGGCGGAAGGACACTTCTCAATGACGAGAATGACGTCACGGCGTCAACATTGCCATTTGGTCTACTATAAATTTCACGTTTTTCTCGACCTCGATTTCAAAACCCCCTTTCCTACCTCTCTCACGTACCCTCTTTCGTTTCAAATAATTTTTTTTTATTTAACGCACGTTCCTTTTTTTTTTAAAACTTATTTAATTATCTCAAAAAAAAAATTTTTTTACAAGAATACAAATTTTATTTCCCCCATTTTTGAAATTTTGAAAAAATAATTTTTTCTATTAATGGGGTTTGAAAGTAAAATAAAAAATTCAATATAGAATATAATTGTCCAGTTTTTTA